ATTAGCGACTCATATTATCACACGTGATTTTCATACATCACGAAAAGTCCTTGTCGAAACACTGGAATCTTTCATGATATTACAAATAACAACTGAATATTTTCATTTTTTTGTAAAATATGCATAAAACTTTTGTTACATTTCCGAACCACGACACTGCGGAAACAGAAAATATCACATTTTGTTCAGCTTACTTTTCTCTACAAGGCTAGATGTAAACGGTCCTTGAGTTTCCTTTTATTCGAGCGCCACGAGACTCATAAAACAACAAAATTCGTGACTCGAATCACGAAAAGGCGAGCGTTACGTGGACAGGTCGTGCATCTATTTTCTTTTATTTGATCTTAGTAGTACACAAGTTGTACTCTACCCTAAGCTAATTTGTAGAAAGAGGTACATTTTATTTCTTGAGTTTTATGTCTATTAATATCACAGCTGAGCATAAGAAAAATCATAGTTTCTTTTACGTTCAGCAGTTAAATAAACTTTTTTTGACCACCATAACTTTCCGGTTTTCTCTTCGAATCAAAATAAATTATGTCACATTCGAATCACAGCATCTTGAACAATATCCCAACAAGAAAAATTTAGACGTATGTTCGTACTAACAATTCACACTGACTAAACTGGCTAAAAAAGAATTTGTGCTTCTTCTATATTGAGTTGACAAGAAAAATCGTCGTATATATATTTGGTGACTGAATACAATTCACACAAGCAAATAGTTATAATTATGCACAATATTTTCTTTAACGTATGATTGATTCATTGGAAGATGGACCCTTTGAAGTAAGCAAGGACTTTCGCCTATAGTTTACCTTTTTTCTCTAGCTTTCTCTCAATCACTTCAGAGACAAAATATCTAATTCTTTTAAGCTGAAATTAGTTTCTTTTTTCAGCGCAAAGTCTCAGTCTTAGTCAACTAAACAAATTCAATTTGATACTCACAAAAAAACAGAATGTATTGCTCATGTTTTAATTAATCTATGTTTCTTTCTCTCTTTCTCATTTAGGTTCGTAAACCAGCTACCTATGGTTTTGGTGTAATGGCTTTAAATGGTGGGCAAGTTTATGCTAAAGCATGTGCTGATTGTGACGATTCTTTGTCACAATCTCTCCCTTCTAGTATGTACATCTTTCGGTAGGACTATTCTCGTTTGTTTCGTTCTGTTGGTTGCTTCTTTTGCAGTTCTTATCTTTTATGATGCAGTAGTAAATGTAAATATTAGGTGTTTTTGGTTTGTGAGTTCAGTTTTTTTGTAGTTTATGATAAAGGGTGGTCGAATAAAAGAGTGATATAGAAAAACTACGTATCTTAACGCACGCATACAATAAACTCAAGGACTTATAATTGGAGGAAATATAAGTCGTCACACTGATGTATTACCATATTTATTTAAAATGATTAGTGTAAGTGATAGTGGTATAACCGAATATAATACGGCAACAGAAAATGCAATATCAGCAGTAATAAAAACACTGAAATAGTCATGTATTGAAAATAATGATACAGTAAATCTGTTTTTTGTTGTCTATTATAAGTGAGATTTTCTTGTCCTGGAATCAAATTCTAATTGTTGAAAGCCGCGATGAATAACGCTGAAGATCGAAGAAGTTTTCTTCATATTTAAGTATTTTTGATACTGCTGCTATTGCGTTTTCTGTTGTCGTATTATATGCGATTGTACGACGATCACTTGCACTAATCATTTTAAATAAATATGGTAATATGAAAGAAAAACTGAAAGTAGAAACTGCAAAGGCTTTTTGCGTGGTCACGCAAAAGGAAATGAAAAAACACAAGTGGCGTAATGCAAAAAATGGTTACAAATGCGAAATTCTGTATATTCTTCTAGAACTAAATATTTACAAAATTCTGGATTAATATCAAATATTTACAAATGTAAATGTGTATCGTTAACAAATAAAAACACAATATTTGCATCTTCAACATAGAATATATAAACTTGATATTTCAAAAATCTTTTTTTCTATGTTGAACTTAAAAGGCTGAAATTAATATTTAAACGTTTTTCAATTTTGTTTAAATATAAATTAATCGAGATGGCAACAAACTATCCGAATTATCCTCAGACCCCACCTGTTTTTACACAACCCTATGCATCGCATGCTCCGCCAATTATTGTTGTTCAACATCAGCCTAGAGGAGACCGGTCTGATTTGTGAAAATCTGCAATTTACATAATATCCAGATGTTCAGATATTCAGATATCTTCCTCTTTTCTTTCACGGTGGCGAATATCAGGAAGCGCCTCACTCTCATCTTCCCTTGCCACCCCCACCTTCCCGNCCATTTCTATAACATCTGAATATCTAAATATCTAACTTGAATATCTGAATATCTGAACATCTAGATATACATCTAGATATATTATGTAAATTGCAGATGTTCACAAATCAGACCCTACTGGCCTAGAGAGTTCCAACATGGATGCCATTTTTACTCTGGCTCTTTACGGCTGGATTATGAACACCATGCTGGATAGCAACATGCTGTGGATGTTGTAAGTTCTTATTTCCTTTGGTTCTCATCATCATTCATTCGATTGTACAAGTACAGAAGAGTTTAACGATCAGATGTCATTCACCCTCATTCAATAGAATCGGAGCTTTCATGTGAGCTATGATCCTTGAAGAATAAGTTTCTGATACATAGTATATTCAAAATTATAGAAAAGAATTTAAGTAAAATCATTTTACATACAAACAGCGAGCTTTCGACACTATCACAGTATCATCATCAGGCGAATGACTTTTGAGAGAGAAGAGAGACAAATATA